ATGCAGTTTAGTCTTACCCTCTTTCTTCTCGCTCGACTCTGAGTTGAACTCTTCGCCACATCCGCCCTCAATGAGTTTTCTGGCTTGGCATTTTGATGGCTCCTGCGAACCGTCTCATAATAAGTCTTACAGGCCGCTAGAAAACAATCAAAAGAATGATATGAATAAAAATCAAACGCAAGTCACAGTAACGTCACACAAGGAAGGACAAACAGTAAAACACTTACACACAATGTCGTCTTTATCAACATGGTGGAAATGTGGACTTATTGTTCACATTGTATTGCAGATATTGTGTTAAGCAAATAGGAGGTCACCATCTCATTACGAGGCTAGATTAGTCTGAAAACAAAGTGTACAGTTATGATTGGTATCTATACATATCCATTACCGACACAAAACGTGTAGATAAACCAAATTCAATTTCCATGGATACATTAACAATACTTACATAACCTTTTTGAGAAAATGGATCCTTCAATGAAGAAAAAAGTGTGATAATTCTAAGAGCATAGCTTTCTTTTTGTTTTCGGGAAGGCATTTGTCTAAGGAAAGAAAAACACTCATGGTCAAGGGACTTCATGGTTACATAAAAAGGCTAAATTAATAGTATCTACAAGTATATATTTTCACGGGGACCTAACCAAGAGATAATCTACAGGAGAACATCTACCTAGGTCATTTATAAAAGAGATAAGTACTATTTATCTTACAATGGGGAATCAATAACAGTGCTGAGAGAAACTGAATTGTTACGTGATTATTGTGAAAGGTCTTTCAAGTGATTTTCATTTTATTTTGAGTAAATATCCTTCCACTTGTAAGAAGGAACTTTTGAGTAATAACTGAGGGATACAACATACCCATGTGTTTCACTCATGTCACTGACGAGAAGGTCGACAAGTTGTCTTCGAGAGCGGTGACTTAGTGATCTCACAGAATCATAATCTTTAAGGATCTCTCGGTCACCAGGGTTTTCCTGCAGTTCCACCATCTACAAACACGTGGAAAATGTAAAATGACAATCTACAATTGTACCAAAAATCTTATGATACAAAATGCAGCAGTACCTCTTTTGCTGTGTCCTTCTCACACATGTCCTGATTGGATCTCCTTGTGACTGCCACAGAGGATTCTCCTTTAGGAGGAGACTATGGGTTCAGGTCAATTGAAAGTCATGGTGTCCATTTCCATTTGAGAAATATCTGTAAAAAAAAATAAAACATCTAAATATGATGCTTACTTGCATCTTATAATACTTTGTCATTTCATGATTTTGAATGTGAAATAAATGTGTCTCTCCCGTCTCTCCTCCTGAAGCAAAACTCCTGAATTTACAAAACAAAACGAGTTAAATACAAGTAAAATGACATTTCACCAGGCAGAGCATTAACTCCTTAGCATCAATATAGAAATGGGTTCAAAGAATGGACAAATTAAAGCAAAAGAATAAAAGAAAGTTCTCACCACACACACAATGATGGTAGGAGTCATGGGAACTTGCTCCATTGGCACTTCTCCTGCCAGGCATGACATCGTCTCTCTCCTCGAAGTAGGACAGCAGAAGCACCCTGTCTTTTGTGTCCTCAGAGCATCCACTCAGCTGTCCTCTCAAGACTTTATACTTTGTCAGATCCTCAAGGAACCTTTTACATTTGTATTTGCACACGGTGTTCATGTAGTGCAGGAGCCTTTTCCCTTTCTGATCAATACAAAATACAAAACCGACAAGTAATCATCTTGGCAAACACATTCCCTTCAAACAATGCCTGTTTAGTGCAGATCTTAAACGAATCAAATGAATATCTTACCTGTATTCCAAACAGTCACCGGGAATGCAGCCACAGAGCCTCTCCTCAGCCCGCACGTGCTCAAGTTGCGCTCTTCTGGTTAGCACGTTTGGCTAAACACGTGCCAAACGTATGGTTCTGAAAATAACCGGATATCAGCTTAGTTGTTTTATGAGGTGTTTATGCCAGAATGGCAAGATTTTGTCTACGTGTGAAATGCAACACCGTAAATGCAGTTCAGTTTCATGTCACCAGCATCACACAATGGTGAAATGCTCGATGCTAACTAGCGTTAGCTCTTCTAGCTAGCCACGGCTAGGCAGCACGATACTGAAACTAGCTGCCGGACAACGGACACATTTCAGAAAAACTAAATGTCCTTCTTCTGCTCTGTATCAAGATAAATTATCTTACCCGTGTTATCGGCTTCTCGAACGAATGCTTCTCTTCTTCACCAACGCACACTCACGCTCTCTGTCCAGTGTCGTGTGAAAGTTGCACACGGCACTGATCCGGGGACTGACGTACACAGCGTTGACTCAGCATGTGTCTAAACTCTCACGATATCAGCTGATTATCGGAAAATAAAACGTCTTCTACAAATCAAGGAGTCCAGTCTGAAAATAATATACAGATTTATATTTTGCATGGAAAATTATTGTTGTTGCACGCGTAAATACACTATTAATTAATTACTCCCCTTCCCAAAGTTACAAAAGCTTGATTTGGTTAAAAGGTGAACCATTACTATACAGATTATTTAAATGTATTTATTTTAGTCATTTAAACTCAGAAAAGAAACACAAGAAGCACTCTACACACATGGAGAAATGTATTTAAAAAACAAACGTTGTTCTTGTTGGTGTTAATGTAGTGATTAATAATAATGAACATTTTAATTGCAGTTTCAGTCTTCTTCTTCTTCACTATATCACACATTTACTCATACATTGAGTTTGTACCAATTTTTCGTGGAATGGGTTATGATTAATGACAAACAGGAGTAATGGTTAACTAATAAGTTAATTACTTGTAAACAGGCCAGAAGGTCGTGGGTTCATTTCCCACCTCTGCACCTTCTCCACCGACTCCCACTGATGACTGCTGTCGTTGTGTCCTTGGGCAAGACACTTAACCCCACTTTGCCCAAAGCCCCCACTGAAAGATCAAGGCTATGCTCACACTCAGAGAGCAGCCGTCCTCCTGTGGACTCACCACCTGCAGAGGGTCAGTGAGGGGCTGGTGCTATGAGACTTGGGTGGCATCTCTGACTGCCACCCCCCTGACCCAGAAATGGATTAAAGGGTAGAAAATGGATGGCTGGATGGACTTTTAAACATTAGTTTCAAGTATTTTAATTTCTTTAGTAATAGACTCTTGATGTACATTTGACTGTATTTGCTTGTTTTTTGTTTTGCAGTTTTTCTGTGTTGAAACTACAAAGAAATGTTATAATTTTAACATAAATTTTCTCTAAAAGTAACTATCTTGGATAGTAAAACTTCCAACTAGAACATTAGTAAGTAAGTAGACAGACTTTTCTTCCTTTCAGTTGTGAATCTACAATGTCCATATTCATGAAAAAAATAAAAAAATTTAAGTTTCGCTGCTGTCAATTAAGTGTATTACGCAACACCGCATGTGCTCAGTACACGTGCTTGGCAGACAGCACGGCACCGCAGCATCAATCTGAATCTCATCCACATCAGTAGGCTATTGGCGCAAGTTATTTTGTTTAAAAATGTCTAGAAAGTCCAAGTCTTTCGTTTGGCAACATTATGTTAAAACAGACGACAAAACTGTCGAATGTAATTTATGTAAGCAAAAGTTCACTTACCACAGCTCGACGACAAACATGGCCTACCATTTGAAACAGGTATGCTAGATTTATTAAAGCTTGTTAAAGGCATCTGTGGACACTTGCGTTTAATGTGAATTATGTAAACTTTATAGGCACATCCCCAAGTCATACAACCACAAGATGCTGCAACAGGCACGCAAACTAAGCTCGACATGGCCTATCCTCTGTCTGCAAAGAAGAAAGGCGAAATAACCAAATCCATTGTAAATTTCATTGCCAAAGATATGAGGCCATTGAATATTGTGGAAGGAGATGGCTTTAGAGAAATGATTAAAACACTGGAGCCAAGGTTCACAATCCCAGCGAGGAAGACATTGAAGGGCGAAATAACCGTGCGCTTTGAGGAAGTAAAAGAGAAAATCCATCAGTCTTTGCAACGTGCCCGAGCAGTTAGTTTTACTACAGATTTGTGGTCATCTCTGCGGATGGAAGCATAAATAACGGTGACCGCTCATTACATAAATGCAGATTGGAAGATGCAAAGTATTGTGCTTGAAACAAGGCAAATGGAAGAGGCGCATACGGGGGCGAATATCGCGGCACAACTGACTGAAGTTGCAGACGCGTTTCGCATCCCTGAAGAAATGCGAGTTTCAGTTGTCACTGATAATGCTGCAAATATGGTCCTGTCTGTGGATTATTTAAAGCAATCGGGTCAGTGGCCTGAAGTGCAGCTGGTTTGGTGCGCAGGGCACACATTGCAACTATGCGTAAACAGCGCACTAAAGCAAGACCCCGTGTCTCGCATGGTGGGTGCTGCACGTCACCTTGTTGGACATTTTTAAAAGGGGAGCAAAGCAAAAACGGGGCTAAAAGAAAAACAGGAGCAGCAAAGAGTCCCTCAGCATGAATTAATACAGAACGTGGCCACTCGGTGGAACTCCACCTGTTACATGCTGGAGCGACTCATTGAGCAGCGCTGGCCAATTACTGCAGTTTTATCAGACCCAAACTTCACAAAGCGGGCAGACAGCAGCACATTGGATTTGACCACAGAGCAGTGGAATATGGCACAAGACGTTACGGCTGTTCTTAAGCCATTCATAACGCTGACAGAGCTGCTGTCACACGAGAACAACGCATCGCTATCAGCAACGATTCCTATGCTTGTTAATCTGAAAAAACGCCACCTCGTCGTCTCACAAGGCGACAGTCCCACAAAACGTAAAATGAAGCTTAAACTTGTGGAGGAAATAGACAGCAGATGGAAGCTATATGAACGACTGGTTATGACAAGCAGCGTTTATATTACAGCTGCTGTACTCGACCCCCGTTTTAAACTGCTCCCATTTCTCGAAGATGAGAAGCGCGATGAAGCTTATGTCACTGTGTCAGACCTGGCTGACAGGATGAGCGCGAGGAAACACGCGCACTGTGCAGGTGAGCCACAAGAGATCGACGGTGATGATGCGCCCGTGTCCAAAAGACAGAGAACAGACAAAGAGAAGAACACTGCGATGTTACTGTGTGGACAAGTTCCAGAAGATGATGATCCTGCTGTACAAAGAGGATCCAGTTCCGACGAAATGAAGGATTACCTTCAAGACCGAAGCAAATGTGACTCTACAGGGCCACTGGTGTGGTGGAAAGAAAACCAGGACAGATACCCCATGCTCGCTCTGGCTGCGAAGCGACTCCTCTGCATACCTGCCACCTCCACGCCCGCGGAACGCATATTTTCCAAAGCGGGATTTATTGTAAATAAAACCAGGAGCTGTCTGCTTCCCAACAATGTGGATATGTTACTTTTCCTTGCCCACAACTCGTCAAAGGTGGATTAAACCCCTAGCGGTGTAGTACACTTTTGGTTACAATTATTAGGTTAATAATTCTGTTGTTTGATTTCATTCAAATCGGAGGTAGGTGAGATGTAATATCTTTATTCAGGCTTTTTTTCGTTTTAGAACTTAATGGCAAGTTGAAATAATATACCTTAAAAAAAAATCAACGTTTAGTAAAAGAGTCAAATATAGGCCTTTTTTAAGGCCGTATATGGAGCGACGGCAGGCCCGCGCACTCAGCTGTTTTGAAAGAAAGTTGATTATTTATAGCTATAATCCAAATTTTATTTAAATACGTATTTTTCTTTTTTATAGAAGTTATTGAAATATTGCTGTTAATTTCTATACTTTACACGTACTTCACACAAGTCATTGTGTGTGTGTTTTTATTGTATACCTGTAAATGTTTGGATCTTTGCTCGTTAATAAATGCTAAAAATGTTTAAAAAAAATAAAGTCTTTTGTAATTTTATAATTGAAATATTTTATTTTCTCTTCTTTTTTTTTTTTGGTCGACTAATCGCTACATGTGCTATAGTCTTGGTCGACCAAGCATTTCCTTGGTTGATTACAGCCCTAGATATATATTAAATCTAAATAAATCAATGATTAACTTAGCAACAATGACTAACTAAATTAGATGCAAAATATCCAAATTAAATTAATTGCCAATTAATCATAAATCTAATCACAAAAATAATGTATTTCAATCAAATAATAATACAAACAAATAGATATGTATCAAAATAAAATAAAAACAACTAAACCTCTATTTAGGCTCCTACATTACCGGCCCCTAATTGTTAGCATGTTTACAATAACAATTATTAAAATGGATTAATTCATTAAAGGGAGCCTACAGTAAGTAGATATCTAAAATGTAAAGTTCATGTTGTGTCAGCTTCCAGGAGAAGACACAATTTGGTGATAGGGCGACAGAGCTCCGAGGTTTTGGTCCGGACCTTCACTTGACGGACGAGACCTTTTTTGTCTGGGAAAGTCTCTACCACTTTTCCTAGGGGCCATGAGGAGATGTTTCGTCCACGATCAACACCACGTCACCAACTTGAAGATCACAGAATTAATTGATAGCGCAACTTCAAACAAAACTATCTTATTATGTGGTGATTTTAACATAGATCTACTTCATTCACATGGGTCGAAGAAAACTCGCGATTTTCTTAATGAAATGTATAGTAGATGTTTGTTTCCAACCATTTCCCAGCCCACTAGAGTGACAAGTACAAGTGCGACGTTAATTGATAACATTTTTTCGAATGATATGAATAATACTCTATACAACGGTTTACTGGCTTGCGACATAACTGATCACTTGCCTGCATTTACTGTTATTGGAGCCAAACCTATCAATAATAGGAACATGCAGGATTGACTTGTTTAGAAATGATTTGATTAAACAAGACTGGGAAGAAGTGTATGTGGCAGAAGTAAATGCTGCCTATGAGAAATTCTTAAACACTTATGTAAACCTCTACAATGCAAATTGTCCTGTAAAAATATGTAAGAAGAACACGTTTGCAAAAAAGCCATGGATAATAAGTGGGCTACAGAAAGCATGCAAAAAGAAAAACAAACTATATAGGGAAGGAAGGTTTCTCACCCATCATCTGTACTTCTTAGCAAGTTTTCCCGACGTTTCGTCCTCAACCTGGGGACTTCTTCAGGGAAAGAAGTCCCCAGGTTGAGGACGAAACGTCGGGAAAACTTGCTAAGAAGTACAGATGATGGGTGAGAAACCTTCCTTTGCTTTGACTAATCCCTGTACGACTGAGGGCTTACACAAACAAACTATATAGGGATTACATGAAATATCGAACAAAAAGGCACGAGACTAAATATAAAGAATATAAGAATAAATTGACGATGATAATGAGGAAAGCAAAAAAAGATTATTTTCAAAATAAATTAAATGACAACAAAAATAATATGAAGGAAACGTGGAAAACCCTAAATAAGGTAATTAAGCCAAATGCCCAGTGTAATAATCTACCCAAATGTTTTATGCATAATGGAAAAGTATTGAAAAATCAAACTGAAATAGCAGACGAGTTCAACTCCTTCTTTGTCAATGTGGGGCCAAACATTGCTAAACAAATTGTAAACCCAAACCACAAGGAAACAAGATGTAACGTGGCAGCAGCTGGTGGAAGTAAAACTCTTCAATCATTGTTTCTCAGCGAAATAACAGAATATGACATTCTAGACACTGTGCGGAAACTCAAAACCAAAACCTCAATAGACTGTGATGGAATAGATATGTTTATTGTAAAAAAGACAGTTGATTGTATTCTCAAACCACTTTCCTACATTTTCAATCTCTCCTTTATCTCTGGTGTCTTTCCTCAAAAAATGAAAACGGCAAAGATAATACCAATATTTAAAAATGGGGACAAGCACATGTTTAACAATTATAGACCCATATCCATACTTTCACAGTTTTCAAAAATTATTGAGAAATGGTTCACAATCAAATTGGATTCCTTTCTAGAAGGAAAAAACATTATTTGATTATCAATATGGGTTTAGATCAGGGGTGTTAAACTCATTTTGGTCCGGGGGCCACATACAACCTAATCTGATCTCAAGTGGGCCGGACCAGGAGATGCTCTACAAAAATATCCAAAAACGGTACAAAGTCCAACTTTTTGTGCACATAAACACATTTATTTAAAACTTCCTTTAAAACACTATCCTTTAATACTCAGTTTTCTGTTACAAACTTAAATGTAACAGTGAGTTTTCCATAGTGCAAATAATGTAATGTATTTACAATATTACATTGAAAATGGTATTTCACAATATGTATATTAATATTTGTATGTTAGCTTTGTTTTAAGGCTCATTACAGAGAAAACTTGCTCACAAAGGTAAAGTAGGTAGACAGAAAAAAGCACTTTAACACAGCACCTCAGCTTAACCATCTTCAGTGTGGTAAGGTCCATGGTTATGTTATTATCACATTAACCATCTTCAGTGTGGTAAGGTCCATGGTTATGTTATTATCACATTAATCATCTTCAGTGTGGTCAGGTCCATGGTTATGTTATTATCACATTAACCATCTTCAGTGTGGTAAGGTCCATGGTTATGTTATTATCACATTAACCATCTTCAGTGTGGTAAGGTCCATGGTTATGTTATTATCACATTAACCATCTTCAGTGTGGTAAGGTCCATGGTTATGTTATTATCACATTAACCATCTTCAGTGTGGTAAGGTCCATGGTTATGTTATTATCACATTAACCATCTTCAGTGTGGTCAGGTCCATGGTTATGTTATTGTCACATTAACCATCTTCAGTGTGGTCAGGTCCATGGTTATGTTATTATCACATTAACCATCTTCAGTGTGGTAAGGTCCATGGTTATGTTATTATCACATTAACCATCTTCAGTGTGGTCAGGTCCATGGTTATGTTATTATCACATTAACCATCTTCAGTGTGGTAAGGTCCATGGTTATGTTATTATCACATTAACCATCTTCAGTGTGGTCAGGTCCATGGTTATGTTATTATCACATTAACCATCTTCAGTGTGGTAAGGTCCATGGTTATGTTATTATCACATTAACCATCTTCAGTGTGGTCAGGTCCATGGTTATGTTATTATCACATTAACCATCTTCAGTGTGGTCAGGTCCATGGTTATGTTATTATCACATTAACCATCTTCAGTGTGGTCAGGTCCATGGTTATGTTATTATCACAGAGAAAGCATCAAACTGACCATGATTCACTTGAAATGAATAAAACCACTTCCATAACGTGATCCATAACGACTGCAGCAGTGTCTCTGTGTAAAATACAGTCAAATGTCCAAAAATCATCACCTCCATTTGCAGCTTTGTCACTACACCTGTTTTTACCATCGGTACCTGTCCACACTGTCCAACACACCAGCAACAACAGCAGAACCAGCAGCAGCACCAGCAGCAGCGCTCAAAACTCCTCTGATAGTTTCAGTAACACCACAAATGAATATGTGACATCAGTAACATCAGTCTCTTATCAATAGCAACATGTTGGTAAAAGCGAGTGGTTTCTCAGACCATGTCTGCAGCCTGTGAGAGTTTTAACTGTTAAAGTGGTTCTCACCCCCGCTCCTCGGAGCTTACGTCACTCACATTTCCTGTTCAAATCTTCCTCTAAATGGGCGTAGCCTGGAGGACTGAAGGGGGCGTGAACGAGACTGGGCCGTTTACATTGCTCTGGGCGGGGGGCTGCTGACGTCAGGTCCAACTTGCAGACGTCAGGTCCAACTTCTGTGCCAGTGTTGGCGCCAGATTCAAAATTCAAATGTAGTAATACAGGTCGCCAGCAGATGGCGCCTCACAGACGGTTTTAGGCAGAAAGTTTAACTTTCAACTAATTTGCACCAAAGTGAAAAAACTATGACCAGGATATGTAGACAACACTATTGGACACTCATTTAAATCGTTTATTAGCAAAAAAAAGTGGATTTGAGGGTGAGTTGTCCTTTAAACAAACTCTCTCACTGTGCGGCTGCGATGCTAATGCTAATGTTGTTAGCACAGGTAGCTTCCCTTTACAGCAGCAGAACTAACCTCTCGCTCTGGGCACAAACAGACTGCTGTGTCTTCAGGGCCAGACATGTTTATCTTCTGTTTTCTCAATTCTCCGCTCAAAGTGCCGTATTTTTCGCCAAGTCTTGTAGTTTAAGATGTTATTCCTCCAGCACCGCTCTGGTGGAGCCACATGTGCATTCTGCTGTGGTGCGTCTCACTGTGGAGGGTGCGTCAGGAGCGCGCCCGCTGCTGCTTTGGAACAGGGAGAGAGACTGACTCTGTTGCTCTGATCCCGGAGTCTGCGTGAGTTTGCGTTCAAACAACGTAAAGCTTAGTGTATACTCGCTGGTTGCGGTTACGTTGGACCTACGTAACCACAGTTGGTGGTATTTGCGCGTTCCCCTTACGGAGTTTTGAGGAGAATGTTGTAATCCCACAACAAACCACAT